GGGGGGGGGGGGGTTGTTGGAGTTACATAGTCTATGTAGAAGCTTGATATGTATTTATTTGTATTGGGCTTAGCAGCCCACACTCTGCCGGGTCGACCCACATAATTAGCATTAGTTCTTCTTGTTTTTACCCTTGTATATAAATACAAACTCTAGAACCTTCGGCAGTAAATGGATTTATTTTTACAAAAAGGATGAATAAAATTATAGCACTGTTCTTCTTTGTTCTTCCTTCTCTTAAGCCCTTCTTCTTTGATTTCTGTACAAATTGAAACTTTACACGAAAAGAAGAATTCTTTAAAAATATAAGAAGAAAATGAATGACGGCTGCTGAGAATCGATTGCTTATTCTTTCTCTATTCAGTCACTTTTTCTTCTTCTTCTCTTTTTTTTTTTAAAAAAAACTTTTACAAAATTCGTATATGATATTCACTGGCTCGATTAATCTGAATATTTCAAAAAAAATATTCTCTACCAAGAAATTCTCCATTCCGCACTCGATTTTACCCATAATAATGGAGAGAGCAATTTAGCTTTTATTTCTTATATTTAATTTTAAGGGTTATTTTCATTTTTAACCCACGTTAGAAACTATTTATATTCGGTAGCCGAAACCGGAAACTCTAGACACACTGACAAGAGCAAAAAAATATAGAAGCTACAACTCTTCAGTCTAAGGCTCTAAGCTATCTAAGCTTGCCTTGCTGCTCTTGCTTCTTTGGCAACTGCTCCGGCTAAGGCTTTCTTTCCGCTTTGACTCTCCCCTCGACAAACTAAGGAATACGGCCGATTCCATCCTTTCTATATATATATANCCTAATTTTAACGTAATGAGACCAACTAAATAAGTTTTAAGAGAGTGTATTTTCAAGCAATTAGATGCACAAGTCCGAGGCCTCCAGCCAAGTCAATGATGAACTGCTGCTTGGAAAAACTGTAGTCCAATGGTAGAAAAGAAAAATAATCACGAAACTAATGAAGAATTCTTGATAATATAAGAAGAAAATGATTGACGGCTCCTTAGAATTATTTACTTATTTTTTCTCTACACTTAAATGTGGATATTATAAATAATTATATGGTCATATGTGGCTGCTTGCTTATGTTTGCGTTATTTCTGATGTGCCGCAGCCTGCAACTTCAAGATTGCTCGTATTTCCAATTAATGTCTCATACTTAAGCCCGGATTATTTTGCGCACGCTTTAATTATTTCATCAAATACTTATTATCTCCTATCAGCATATGCATATGATAGAAGATAAGAAGAAATTACGTAATATTTTTGTCTCCGTTTAACCTCTTATTTGTAGCACCGACTAATTAAATGTTTTCTGTTTTTGGAATTTGATTTGATATTTTAATTGATGGAATTCGATGATTAAGATGCCATAATTCAAACAAACAAATAATGAGTAAACTATTAATTCAGTATCCAACCAATCTTGAATAATTCAGTACCATAATTTTAGTCATGTATCCAACCAATCTTGAAATATAACTATAAGTTTAAGTCAGTACATTGAATTAGTTAGATTATTTAACCCAATATTAAAATACTAGTAATTAATATAATGCACCAATCATACCCACTGTTTTCGACTCAAATCATATATTTATACATGTGACAGGGAATTTTCTATAATTTTCTAATTTACAATAAATCACATTCACTTTGTTCCACGTGCTTTAAATTCTAGATCCTTATATACACTCTTCTTTTGGCATTTTATGTACTATTTATATAATTAATTGCAAGAATTTATTAAGGTTGTAAGAGTTTGTAGTAAGAATTTGACTAATGACTAGTAAAGTAAGACGTTCGTAAGTGATGGCTAAAGGTCTTGACATTATCTGTGGAGGCATTCAACAAGGTTTAATGTATCTATATTTTACTTTTCATAGTATTTTACAATAAATAAATTATTGGAGCATTTGATAGATGTCCTTTTGCTATTTGACGGCTAACCCCAATGGTTGTAGTGAAATGGATAAGATTCTTTCGTCCTTAATTAAAAAATTTAGGTTTATGTTCTGAAAATAAATAAATAAATCCTAATAGAAAACGTTTATGCAAAGCGAATCTGGATGAGTCTAAATCCAAAATGCAATATTGAACACCGAATGAAAAATAAAATAAAATATAGCCATTATTCCATTGCATTTTCCAGCATTTGAATTATGACTAGAAAGTGACACTACATTTGAACTTCAGTTAAAAAAGACCATTCCACTAATTACATTCTCTTTTTTGTTCTTTTCAGAAATTCAAAAATAGCCTGATTTACAAGTGGCCATTCAAAAATAACTGCATTTTCAAAAGTAATCGAAATTTAGCCACTTTTCATGTAAAGATAAATTTGAATGAAAATATTGTTCAAAATACAGAAAATACTCCAGTATAATATACCGGTCCAACATAATATGCTGGAAGTTCATACACAGGTGCACCGATCTCCAGTATATTATGCTGGAACTTTCCGTGTTGCAGCAAAATAGTTGCTATTTTTCAATGACCTTGCAAACGCTGGCTATTTTTCAATGACCAGTCCGAAAACTGACTAGCTCGTGCTATTTTTACTTTCATTTATAATGTTCGTATTTTAATTCATCTCTCGGGTCTACTTTTCTATTATGTTATTATTTTCTTTCCTTTTGTTCTTCTCTCTCTAAGACAAGAGGGGTTGCGCTGATGGTAAGCAACCTCCACTTCCAACAAAGATTTGTGAGTTCGAGTTACCCCAAGAGCAAGGTGGTGAGCTCTTGAAGGGAAGGATGCCAAGTGTCTATTGGAAACAGCCTCTCTACCTCATGGTAGGGGTAAGGTCTGCGTACACACTACTCTCCCCAGACCCCACTAGTGAAATTATATTGGGTTGTTGTTGTACTTCTTCTTCTTCTTCTTCTCTCTATCTTTACTTCGATTAAACTCTAAGCATAGCCAACAAACTGACTCTTTTATATCATTTTGCCCATGCCTACATTTAGGTGTATTCAATTTTGGTAGCAGCCAAGAATGAACATCCATAAGAACGTAATAAAGAGCTTCCACTTATAACTTATACATTCACTATAAATGACATTTGTCAAATATTTTTTAGTTCAAAGTGAAATTTTTCAACACGAATTTGAATTAATTGAGCTCCAGAACGATTATCGAACATATGACGAAAAATCAAAAAATAACTATATGTGACTTGTAATGTGATGGCCATAATATTTAGCTATTAGTATATTGTTAGTATTTGAGCCTGAGATGCTTCATACTTAATTAAAGAATTTATGATCATTTTTTTTTCCAATTCACTATAGGAAGATTTTGGGGAACATTTGACGTTAAATTTTCTTTTATATTTCCCTTATTTGTTTTTAATGGAAGTCACTAGACTAAATGTGGGAAATCATTACTTCCTCCGTCTCAAATTATCTATCGTGATTGCTAAAATTAGTTGTCTAAAATTATTTGTCATTTTAGAAGTTCAACACTAAATTTTTTTTTTTTCTATTCTACCTTTAATATTAATCGTTTTTGAAGATTTACAAATACCTCAATTATGAGTAAATATTAAATGAAGAGAGATTACCCCCTCCGGTCCACAATAAGTGATCATTTTACCTTTGACACACCCACTAAGAAAATACAAACTCCTAGAGAAAAAAAATATGTATTTACTAAATTAACCTCAATTAATTGTTATCTTGACATATTGGAATATATAAATAAGGGCAAATTTTGAAAAAATAAAATTAATTCCTTCTTGATTATGTAAATGGACACTTATTTTGGACCAAAATAAAAAGGTATAATGGTCACTTATTGTGAATCGGAGAGAGTATATATTAAGACTTAAATAAGGATAATAAAACAGTCAAAAACCTCTCATATTTAATATTTTCTTAAGAAACGTGTAAAATAGAAATACTACTGATAATTTGACACTCGGAGTACATGTCAATAGATAATAAACTGAATTTGGTTCTCTTTTTTTTTTTATTAATGATGAAGTGTGAATAGCAATTATGACTCCCATGTTTATAATCAGGTACTCTACCTAACCAAAAGATTGAAAAAGAGTGCCCCACTAATAAACTCCAAAGTAGAAAACATTCGATATGTCTAATAAATGCAAATGAACATTTTTTCATAATTTATAATATTTCCTGTGTTAGAAAAATAAAATCTTTTTAGTCCATATATGTTAATCGATCTCTTTAAAAACAACATATGTTACTTTATTAATGTACCAATCAAATACTTAAAACAATTTTAAAAAGAATATGTTCTAGGACAAATCGAATAATGTAAAACATTCACAATCAAAACCTATGAAGTCCCAAAAACCAAAAAAATTGCAACAATATTATACTTTTTGGGGTGGTCTTTAATTTTTGATTCTCGCTTGTCCCATGAGCAGAATTTCAAGGTCAAAAGTTAAAAATCTTGGCCCATGGACAAATAAGCGACAATACTTATTAAACTTAAAGTTCTGCCCATGGGCCAAGCGATGACAAAACTTTAAGACCATCCAATTTGATCGTTACTTGTGTACTTCACTAACATTCTATTGAGGCTTACTCTTTAGTCAGCCTATTTGCAATGGACGAATCCCAAATTTACATTCAAACATTCAACATGTTAAAGTATAAATTAATCTTCAAATAATAATAATAATAATAATAATAATAATAATAATAATAATAATAATAATAATAATAATAACTAGAGGTCAAAAAAGAGCATCCACAATAATAGGGCAGCCCACCCTTGACTTGTAAAGCTAGTAGAGTCAAGCCAACCTTCCAACTTTCATTCCACCAAATCCAATGCCCCACGTCCATCCAATTATTTTTTCTGCTTTTCTTTTTCCATCTAATTACTTCATTATTTAAAATTTGACTAATTTGCATTCGCGTTCCATAAATTTTATTAGAAGAGAATCACTTTATCAGAAGTTTCTCTATTTCTAAGACGCAAATCCGATACATCTTGTTAAAGATGAAAGATCTCAATCATCTACCATACTTATAATGATCCTTCCTCCTTTTTCCAGCTTTGGTAAAACAACAAAGAACAATCATTGAAGGATAAATATTTAAGCATATTCAGTGTTTACACTAAATCAAAAAATATAATCTTAACAATTTAAAATTAAAGTAGAAATATACATAACATAACCTTAGATAAATGAGAAATACGTATATAAAATTTACATATTTGTGAAGTCTAAACAACAATGACTATAAATTTTCATCAATGAATAGTGTAATAAATTCGAAATTACAAAATTCTTAATTAAAGAGTTTTCGAGGAAATAAAGAACATTTTGCTATATAAAACTTTTATTTTTTTTGGTTTCTCACCTGGTCGTATTGGGGCCCAACCAAATTCGGATTTACGCCGGGAAGTCCCACATTAGGGGGTAAAGCGCTCTCTAACATACAAAGGCAACTCTATACCCGGGGCTCAAACCCGAGACCTCTGGCTAAGGATGAAGAAGTACTTATCACTCCACCACAATCTTTGTTGGTCATAAAACTTTATTATAAGTAAGTTAACTTGACATGAATATAGAATATTAGAGCTAATAAACTTCCGTAAAATTTACTCACCCTTCGTACTTACACCAAATCATGAACCGAAGATAAATGTATCACTTAATCATATTTAATTGATATATATTCCTACGTTAATTTTTAACTTCTATGATTAATTTATTTGATTGATGCAAACATCGAGTTACTCCATTTTCTGAACTCCGGATATAGGATTCTTAAATCTAAAAATAAAAAAAGAAAAAAAAAAGAAAAAGAAAAATCAAATTAGCTCTGAACTAACTACCTGTACCAGACACGCGAATCATTTCTGTGTCTTTCAAGGTTGGCTGCTCC